GTTGTCGTGGCAGGGGGTGGCAAGGAGCGGAGGTGTTTGGAGTGAGGCATTGGAGCCATTTTTAGAGATTTGGGGGCTGGCAGATACAGGAGGGAGTGCTATAGTAGAAGAGGGGAGTGGCTGATGGTAGAGGTATTGGGGGACATTTGGGGAGCTGAGAGGGGCCTAACTTGTGATGGGTATGAGTGTGTGGGGGAGGGACCATCATGGAGGAGGAAGAAGGAGCCTGGTGGAGGGAGGCTGTTTTGAAGGTGGTTGGAATGGCTAGCGGTAGGCAGGGGAGAGGTCTGGGGCAGGGGAGGCTCCCTTGCTTTATCTGGTTGGCATTAACCAGGCACTCCGGGGCCCTGGACTCGCTTTTTCCTTCCCTGCCTTCCTTTGCCAGGCCTCAGCCTAAGCCTGGAGTTGCTATGGCAACTTCAGAGGAACCCATTTCCTTAGCGGTGTCTGTGGTACAGAGGCTGGCCTGGAGCTCAGAACTGCCAGCAAGAGGCCTCCTCTGCTGTCCCCGTTTTCTTTCCAATGCCTTACCCAGTTCCCAGAGGCCATTCATCAGGGACTCTGCTCTCTGCTGTCCCTTCCCCATAGTAAACTCTGCCTCCCTGCAGGTGGCTGGCTGAGATTCTGTTCCCTCAGGACACTGTGGATTGCTCTTCTACCCATCATCCTCCCCCCGCCCCCCACCTTGCAGTCAGAGGTGGGGTCTGCAGTGTGGGTGGCTGACCCAGGTAGTCTGAAACATCCGTACACTCAGGCACCTGCTAGAACTTCTGCTTGTGGCTGGTACCCTATTTCTCCTCCCTTCTGTGCCCTCAGAATCCTAGACATTTGCAGGGAATAAGGGCTCAGGAGTCAGACCACCTGGGTTTCAGTCCTGATACCAGCCATTTCCTAGCTGTGTCACCTTGGTAAGGCACTTTTCCTCTTTAAGCCTCAATTTGTTCATCTGTAAATGGAAGCAGTAACGCTTCCTATCTCGGAGGATTGTTGTAAGGATTAAGCGGCTCAGTGCACCTTAAGCATATTTAGTCCACGCTTTGGCACACAGTGAGTACTCAATGAGCCATTTCCTAAGTTTTTAGTAAGCTCTCTCCAGTGAGTCAGGTATGATGTTAATATCTCCGATTCGTTTCCTTGCCAATCCTTCTGTTTGATGTGTTCCCCAAGAATCCAGATAGGGGAAACTGAGGCCCAGCTCTTGGGCATCAAAAGCTCTGTGGGTGAGAGGGGTACTCTGAGCTGACCAGCTCATTCCCTCTTCCTCTTCTCCCACACCCCCCTCTTCAGGCCCACGCAGTAGTTATTTCTGAGCTGAGTTATTTCGGAGCATACCCCTTTGGGGAGCTTCTGTGCTGGGTGGGAGGAAGGTGGCGGAGGTGGGTGAGGGGGTTCAAAGGATTCAAGGTAATTTTCCCAGACGCAGGAGGAAGTCAAAGGCCTGTAATGGGGGCAGATTGATCAAAGAGAATGGGAACCTGGGTATTCTAGTCTCCCACCCCAGGGACTTCAGCTGCCACCTGATGCGTTGTGTCAGCACTGGCAAGGGGCTTAGGTCTGAGTAGGTGCTAGGTAGTCCCTGGGATAAGGGTGTTGCCCCCCGAAGGCTAGTGCCTATTCTTCTAGAGGCCACTGTGAAAGGGGTATGTCCTGCTAAGGATGGGCAGGGCTGCGGGGGCCAGCTGGGGGCAGGAATGAGTGGGAGGCTGCATTCCTGAGAGGGCCCCTCCCCATCCAACCCTCCTGCCTTTCTTCACCATCCTTTGGGTCCTAAGCTCATTCTTTTCTCTCCCACCGCTCCGTTCTGTTTTTGCTGTTTCCCAGCTTCCGGGGCTGGGGGGAGGGGACTGGCCAGAGCCCGGGATGCTGAGTCTGTACTTGGGCCCAGCCACCAGACCAGTCTTCTGGTGCCAGGGCAGCCAGCCTCTCCCCAGCACCTGCTATGGCTGTGCCTTCCTCTTGGGGGGAGGGGGCAGAGGGTCTGACCCATGTCACCCCCAAGCCTTCCCAGCATGCCCCACCGTCCAATTCCTATGACGAGCTGAAGGTCTAGGAGGGGAGATCCCTAAATCTTCTACCCCTCTTCCTCTTGGTTCTGCAGCAGCGTCCCTCAGAGCGGATTGCACAGGGAGGAGCCTGATCTTCAGCCTCAGCCGGCCAGTGAGGCCCCGCGTCGCCCCGCCCTACCGCCTCCCTCCAAATCCGCGCTGCTGCCCCCACCGTCCCCTCGGGTGGGTAAGCGGCCCCCGCCGGGACCC